AGAAAACTCTTCCCAACGTCTATAGGCGAAAATGAACAGTGATTTCGCCTACCATTATCACCATCCAAACTTCATCCGTACAGTCACAGTTGTCCAATAGTATTTTAATTTTCATTTTTTTTTCTACAAATCGAAATTACTTGAAATTTAGAGCGTGTATATATCATAGAGAGCCGTGTCTAAGAAAATTATGAAAAAAATAATTCTCAAAATATAAATTAATAAAAATATCCCCGAAAGATTACGGGGGTATTTTAATCAATTTATATTTTGTTAATTAATTTTTTTTTATATTTTTATTAGGTGTATCTCACTAAAATGTACACACGTTCCAAATTTCAGATCATTCCAATTTGTAGAAAAAAAATGAAAAATAAAAAACTTTCAGATAACTGTGACCGTATGATGAACTTTGGATAGTGATGAAGGTGGGCAAAATCACTGTTCATTTTCACCTATAGTCGTTTTGTAGTATCTTATATATATATATATATATATTTCTGGTACATTTGTTAGGGTTAAATGTGGCCTTCATCGAGCTTTACATGATTATGCATGAAGCATCAACTCTTTTTATTAAAAATAAAAAAGAATTGATGCTTTGGCATATATAAAGCATCAACTTTATAGCATATAATTCCTTTTATGAGAATCAAAAGGGATAAATAAAACATCATTTTCCTTGGGACAATGTGATGAGACCACGACCACATGAGATAAAGTTCCAAATGAAGTCTATTTTGAATTTTCTCTTTAGAAAGGCCTACTTCGTCTACACTAATAATATCTCAATTGCCAAATAAATCGGCCCACTAAAAATAGTAAAAGTGAGAATGACATCACTAACCCACTTAACAAAAAAAAAACATTAAAAACAAAGAAACAAAGCTAATTGCTCTAACAAATTGTATTTATTACTATTTTTACTGACTTTGTTATGTTATAAGGGGGAATCTTTGCTAGTTGAACATTTCAAAAATTTTGAAGATTAGAGAAAATTAATAATAACTCAAAAGAAAAGAGACTGGCAAGTTTAAGGAACGAGGCTCTTGGCAGGGTGGTCACGGGGAGAGAGAGAGACAGAGAGAGAGAGAGAGAGATTTTATTTTCCTTATTTTGAAAGTAGATTGGGACGAGGTTTTATAGATCTTGATGTTGAGATGTATCGAATGAAGAAAAAAAATTAAGTCTTGTAAATAGTGAATCTATAGCGCATTATCTGGAGCGTCTAATTTCAAGATTTCAAGTATAGATCTGCTCGGTCTTTCCTTATTTTGAGTGTTGCTTTTCATAATTAGGATGAGAATAGAATATTAGGCTATCACAAGTATTTTCAGCACCAAACTTGCATTTTTCATAATGGTTTGTAGGTGTACCTTACTTTTAATTGTTTAGGGTACACACTTCATACAAACCACATCCTTCATAATAAGGTCGACGGTATTCATTTATGACATTTTATTGCTGAGTTTTCATCCCTTATATTTCCATTTTCGAATTGTGGTAAGAAAAGATGAAATGATTGTGTTCTTTTTATATCTGCTAAATATTTTTCTACATTTAATATCCTTATTTGTCAATATATTAATTATCTTTGGGGGAGTATTTTAATAATGGCAAAATAGAATGCATGGATGTATTATTACATACAGATGGCCTCCTGATGAACCTCTTCCAATTCCAACAGCTCGGGCTCGGATCGTGGGGATCGCCAGAATACTTCGTATGAAACTTGCCAATGTCGATTAGATCCGAGATCTGTTTCTGTTAAAATACTTATTGTACATGTAGAAAGTAGAAAATGTTATTTTATCAAAAAAACTTTAGTATTTAAAAGAAAATACAAGTTGTATATAACAATGTTTAATATTTTAAGAGTACAATCCATGAAATGACCTTAAAAGAACCCAATATTGATGATACCTTACTAAGCATATTTTTAAAGTTGTTTTTGGTACATGTAAATTAACAGAAACAACATATAATGAAATTGAAAACAATGAGGTCATAATCAAACATAACCATTGAATGTGAAATAAGTAAAGTATCTTTTTAGCAAGCTGCCATATTTCACATCCAATAATTATAGTGGCACGTTTGGTTCACATTTCACATGAAATAATTCTTTCGTAAGGTTAAGTGTGGGAATATTTTCATACTAATTGGTCTTAGTGCATATTTTCACACCAATTGGCAACTAATTGATGTAAAATTTTTCCTACACTTAACCATATGAAAGAATTTGTTCATATTCATGCGAACCAAACATGCTCCTAGTTGATTGTGACCTCATTATACTAAACGTAGATGGTCTTGTAATATACCGTCCTAAATAAACAACTAGAGATGTATTTTTAAAAATGTTCCATTATCTCACAAACTTAATACCATAACTCCCCAAAATTCCAAATTATTATAATCCAATAAAATTGTTGCTACTGTTGCCCCTAATTTTCTCTATATTTAATGTGACGTTAGAGATTGTATACTATAAAAACATTTATCTTTGTTACAAAAAGGTCACAAATATCTCTTGCCATCCAATTTCAAATTGAACAACTTGATTTGTGCAACGGAGTTCAAAAAAAATTTATTTATATTTTGGATCTAGTCAATGACGCAGACACAACTACCCGATTTAAAATACGATGGTCAATAATGATTATGATATACTTGTGTCAAAAATAAATGGTTATACTTTCCCATGAAGTTAAGGGCATTAAGTAATTTGGGTCACAACTCTTTGCTCCATTTATTCATAGGTTATTTTTCTAAAATTCTAAGACAAGCAGAACAAATTCCCCTAAAATGATTGGGTGTACCACCTCTCAGTCTCTTTTGATAGAATCTCTCACACTCACTATCCCTCATTTAACATTTTGTGTAAAGGCCCATATCTCTCATATCACTTATTTTTTCAAAAGCCGATATTGGCGGGACCTGCTCTTTGTCTCTCTACCCTGCAAATATTGTTTGACTGACTGCATTTTCAAACTAGTTCTCATTCTTTTTCCTAATTAAATATTTCATTTTAAAACGAAAATTTTTTATATAAAGTGTCAACTTTATACTGTATGAGTAAGGTGCACCTCAAAAATCCGCTAAAGAAGGTTGTTTCTATTGGGAAAAACCCTCAAATCGATCATCTCATCCTCAAGATTTGTAGATATGAAAAAAAGAGATTTCTATTTCCAAAAATTAGTTCATAATCTAATACATTATTTAGACTGTTCATTTTTAAAATTATCAAATGTTTATAGATCAGCTTGATTATCACCATTTCTGAAACTTTAACTTTTATAATTGGAGGCAACAAAAGATTTTTCATATTATCGCAAAGCTTTGGGGCACCTAAACTACATTTTCAACATAGTTTTGAGGTGCACCTTGCTTCAATAGCATAAGGTTGACACCTTATACAAACCTTATTCCCCTTTTCTCCTTTTGCATCAAAAGCCACCGTCTCTCTCTCTACTCTAGTGCTTCCAGGTTGTAAACCACACTTTTCTTTCAGAGTTGTTGATCTTACTTCTAGATAAGATTTATCCTCAAAATGAGAGTGTTCTGCTCTGATTTAGTTTTGATTTCGATTTTTAATTTGTGTTGTTCCTTGTTATCATTGAAATCCTCTTTTTAAGGAGTTCTACAGGCAAAAAGTCTTGTTTCAGTTGGATTTTGTTTGATACATGCAAAGTGTGTTTGTTTGCAGTAAATCTATCATACTTATAAAATTATATCGGGCTCAGCTTTGCTCTTTAAGTTTGATTCTAGTGAATGAAGGGGATCATATGGTCTGGTTCAGCAGAATTTCTGTCTGCAACATTCAAGGAGTTTTCTCGGATCCATTACCTCTATCAGAGGTAGTGGTAAAATGCTCGATCGGGATGATGAACTGGATTCCACTGCCTATTTAAGTTCGATAGAGTTTTTAAGGTTTGATTTTTGTAACTAATGATTCTAAAGTATAATTTGGTTAAATTTTGATTAGTAGGATTTTATTGCATAAATGATACAATTAGTAGTTTTTATTCATTTGAAATTTGTCTTCATAGTTCATTGTTGATAAGGTTTAGGAGACATAATCTTGGTCATAATTGCATCTATATAATTGTGGTTAAAATATCATATTCTTTAGGTAAACAATTATGTAAGAAGGATTGATCCTAAGTGGATTTTGATTTGTTGAAGTTGCAATAAAAGAAATAAAAAAGAGAAGATGTAAAGACATACATGTGGTTCAACAATGGTGCATACGAATACGGAGGGTAAACCAATATCTCATTTATAGGGATTTATCTAGTTTATTAGAGATTTATAGAGTTACAATTATTGTCTTTTAAAAAACAAATCCCACAAAATAAAAAGCTCAATATAAGAAACTTAATATCTTGTAATACACAAATTATGAAACTTAATATCTGGTTTTTATAATTGTCAACATGATTATTTATGAGTTAATTATTGATTTGGTTCAACTATTTGGGAAATGAATATTGCTCCATATTAAAGGGCTTGATCTTGTGGAAACATGTGAGATATGGGCTTAACCGAGTCTGGCCGTTTCGAGCTTGAGGCTCAATATCTTTCTTTCTTTTATTTTATTTTATTTTATTTTAATTTTTATTTTTGAGATATTGGGGCCCAGCCTCTTTACCATCCTTTCAGCTAGAAAGTTGTGGGTGGCCCTCCTCGATGTTGTAAATTATCCATGCAAAAACTGGTTTTCTAAAATAAGATTTTCTATGTATTGTTTTTCTTGAGGGATTGTATATATGACTGGTATTTCTAGTATAAGAGAGATCACCATTATTCTTAAAAAACTTATTGATACCCCCAATTTGTACTTCTAGGCAAAGCCCATCCATCCCCCTCCTCTTGCTGTCTCCCCAATTTTTTACCACATTATTAATGCCCATACTTTTTTTTTCCAATTACCTTTCAAGTATAAAAGTGACTTTCTTGGATCAAAATACCCTATTTTTGGTCACGTTTCCCACTTTCTCTTTCTAAAGAGGTCCGGCAGGCACAACTCGCATAGAGCTGGCATATTTTTTTGTATTGGACCGGTACATCCAGGCACATGTTTGCCTTGGAACGACACATTTTGGACACCATGTTTGAGAAACGTAGGATAAATAAAGGGTATTTTGGTATAAATAAATAAATTTTTTTACTTAGAGGTAGTTGCAAAGAAAAAAAGTGGAGTATCAAAAGTATTAAAGGAGGATGCTTAAAAAATACAAAGTAGGGGAGCAACTACAAATTTTTCATTATTCATAGCCCTTAGATGTGAAATCCTATAGGTTAAAGTGCCTCACAATATTTAAAAAATATAATTTTAGATTTTATACCTAATTAGAGATATATCTCCAACCACCTAATTCCCATCTAACGGTCAGTAATGATCATGACCTCATTGTTCAAAAAATAAATGGTCATTTGATATATATTTTCTTCTATTAAACATGGATGCGGTTGGCTCGCATATTGTAAAAATGTACGCTTGGATATAAATATATGTTTTAAATATAATTTGATCCAAATTTTAAGAGAATATATAATCTTTAATATGGAGATCATGAATATAAAAAATAAATAAAATTAAAAAACTATAAATGATAATTCTATTAAAAAAACACTTGGACCGTTAGTGTTACCATTGTTTTTAGATGAACCACCTATTTGCATCCATTTTTAATATGAATGCTTTGTAAGCCTGCATTTTCTTTTATGGGTGTAGTTGCATCCATTTTTAATATGAATGCTTTGTAAGCCTGCATTTTCTTTTATGGGTATAGTTTGTATAGGGCTGAGGCTCTAAATAATCAAAGTAAAGTACACCTTCAAATAATATCGAAAAATGTAGTTTCGATATTGGAAATCTTTGTAATTGCTTTAAAATTTATTTTTATCTTTAATTGTAAATTTAAAGCTTAAAAAATAATGTATATTGATCCGATCTCTAAACCTTCAAAATTAGCAGTTCAAAAATGTATTATAAGATGCACTATTTCCATAATTTGAAATCCCTTTTTTTCTCGTATCCATGCATTTTGTTGCGGAGATGATACGGTTGAAGATATTTGAGCATCAAAACAACTTCTTCTAATAAACTTTTTTAAGCGTGCTCTAATTTGATTGTTTAGAGCCTCATCTCTGCATAAACTTTTTCCTTCTTTTATCAAACACATCTCTCCCGGACGCTCCTCTCTCTCGATCGACAAGAGCATCACCCTCTGACCCCATTAAAGTACACCCCTAAATACACACTGCGCGCCAGTTCTCTTATATATCATGAATATCACTGTCCTAAATCGTTTTATGGCAGGGAATTGGTGCTCATGCTTTGCTTTACTGCATGTTTGGGTAATCCTTGTGAACCGAATACAAATCCAGTATGCATGGGGCCAAACTGTACCCCACTCTAGCTACAGGTTACTGCTAATGCACATTCCACAATGCTTGCAACTTGATTCGTCCTTCTCTCTCTCTTCAAAGTGATTCTTTCATTTCCCCCTCTCTCTCTTCCCTCTGCGTTGAGCCAATCTCTACTTTTTAACTTTCTTATCCCTTCAACAAGGATCCATCCCTCCTTCCGCTCGTCCTGACCACACCAATTCAAAATATCTGCACGCTTGTTTCCAATCCCCACACAAGAGAGGAGATAGAGAGAGAGAGAGACACGATTTTGACAGTTTTGAAGGATTTTTCATCCACATTTATTTATTTATTTTTATATATTTTGGCTTCCTGTGCAAAGGGAAAACATCAAACAACACACATTTCTATCAGGAGCAAGGTAAGTATCCCCAAATTCATTCTCTTTTTTTTTTAGATTTTAAATGGCCCAGGAAAAAGACCCACTATTTTAGTTTTTAAAGTATTTCATATTTTTTTTTCTTTATCCATTCCTTCTTCCGTGTTCAGGAAATTTTGGGCTTCCACATTGTAATCTTTTACAAACACGGTTTGTTCTATTTTCCTCCCTCTAAAAATTATATATCTTTATTCTTTTTACCTGAAATTTTATTTCTTACTGTTATGGCGGATAATAATATTTGTTCTAATTTGTTTCTGAAAGCCCTCATGAAATTATGAAAGCCACTAATCAAAGTTTACCATTATAAAATGAAATTATGAAACCGACTATTTGCAGTACCTGGAAATACGCCTGTTTTTTCTGGGAAATGGTAAAATTCCTCTTCGACAAATTAGCTGTACTCCGAAGAAGCGCGTTGGTGGTGGTGGTACTTATATGAGATATTTTGCGCATTCCAACACTCCCAATGCCCCCATGGTCCCCCTAGGGTATAGGAATGGCTTGGTTATATTAACAAAAATGTTAGGGGTGTTTTCGTCCTTCCTGTATTTGTCATTTTCCTTTAAAATCTGATAGGTCTGGCCCCACATTTCTCTTCGTTTCATGGCTGCTTGTTAAATAGCTGGAGGTGATGGAAAATGCTCAACCTTGTGAATACTTGAGGGTGAGACTTAAATGTGAACATGGGTGCTGATAATTATTCACAAAACCTTTATGAATTTAGGCTTTTGATGACTTGGTATGAATGGATGGATTTTTTCTTGCCATGGCCATGAGTATATTTTTTCTTTTTATTGGTTCTCTTCCTCACTCAATTGATGCACATTACTCTGCTAAATTTAAATGTATTTAAGTTGAGTGAATTTACTGTGAATCCAAAAGCTTGGAGACCCATGATTCAGCCTCTATGTTGGATGTACTTTCCACCATACAAAGAAGAAGAGGAGGAAGAAATTTTCATGCTCTTTTTGGTTTGCTCTGTGTTTCTATGGCTAGTAGCTTAACTGCTATCTGATGGTTTGGTTTAACTAACAATTTACAAAGGCACCTGCGTCACTTTCAAGGGCTTTTCTTCATCATGAGAAACGCATGATTCAGCCTCTTTGCTGGATTTATTTTTCACCATACAAAGCAGAAGGAAGAAAATTTTGCTCTTTCTGGTTTTCTTTATGTTTGTGTTGCCTGCCTTAGCAACTGTATGATGATTTTCTTTCTTCAACTAATTATCTAGAAAGGCACTTTCTTCACTTTCCAGTTATTGAAGCCTAGAAAAGGGAAACATGAGATGAAGCCGAGTTCTGTGAACTCTGAGCAGTTTAGATCTTCTTTTTACAGGCCATACATATGCCATACACTCTGGCCACCCAGAATAACCAGTCATGGAAAGGAGATGATATGAGTTGGGTTCCTTCAAATTGTTCTTCTTCTGACCACCCTATCAATGGTGAGCAGCTTCTAGGATCACTTTCTATATCCGAATGCGAAATGCTTCGAGAGCAGCGAAGCCACTCGTTACCGGGTAACAAGTATAGTAGGAGCTCCCTTTCTTCTAATACTCGACTGGATAGATTATTGAAGTTGAGGAAAAGCAATAAAATTTCTCAATTTGAGGAGGGAAGCAAAAGCTTAGCAAATGGTAGGAGTGATTTCTTCGAGCATGAGCTGCCTCTGAAGAACGGTGCTGGGCTTGATAGGGAGGATGAGAATAGGCGTGAAAGCCTGGAAAGCAATGGAAAATCTTGCACAGAGAGAGTTGAGTGCGAAGATTCAAAGCAGCGGTTGCTGGTTGTCGCAAACAGATTGCCTGTTTCGGCCACAAGGATTGGCGAGGAATCCTGGTCTTTGGAGATAAGCGCTGGTGGTCTAGTCAGTGCTCTTCTTGGTAAACTTTGGCATTTCTTATTAACTTTTGGTTCCTTTTTAACGTTTTGATTGTTTCATTTTTGACATTAAAGTATAGTAATGTCATTTTAATTGATGGTATGAGGTTTTGATTCGCTTATGCTTGGCTGAAGGCTTTTGCATTTTGGATGTTTTTTCGCTAGGTGTGAAGCAATTCGAGGCAAAGTGGATTGGATGGGCTGGTGTAAATGTGCCCGATGAACCTGGGCAGAGGGCTCTTACTAAAGCTTTAGCAGACAAGGTACTTTTAAACTGAGACATGGAACTGGATATTTTCATTCATCTTAATGAATTTTATCTTGAAATCTACAAGTAATGACTTGAGGACTCTTTGCTGAGTATACACAGCAACTTTGGATCGACAGTTTATTCGACATCTTTGGAGTCATTTTTTGCATATTGTTTCTTGAAATCTTCTTCACATAGTGTTAAAACTTACTCGTCATTTCCTTGGCCTTTGAACTTGTGCCTTACAGAGATGCATACCAGTCTTTTTAGATGAGGAGATAGTTCATCAGTATTACAATGGTTACTGCAATAATATTTTGTGGCCTCTTTTCCATTACCTCGGTCTTCCTCAAGAAGATAGACTTGCAACCACTCGTAGTTTCCAGTCTCAATTTACTGCATATATGAAGGCGAATGAAATGTTTGCGAAGGTGGTAAATGAGCATTATGAAGAGGGCGATGTGGTCTGGTGTCATGATTATCATCTTATGTATCTTCCGAAATGCCTAAAGGAGTATAATAGCAATATGAAGGTGGGATGGTTCCTTCACACCCCTTTTCCATCATCTGAAATTCACAGAACTCTGCCATCCCGCACAGAATTGCTGAAGTCTGTTCTTGCAGCCGATTTGGTCGGGTATGATATGAAATTGTGATCATAGTTTAGAGTTGCCTACTTCATGTAATACATTCGTATGACTTGCATGTGTAATAATTTTACTTAGGTCTTCTTGATTTGTTTCTTCATGGCAGACTTATGGCAGACTCATAATATTGCATTCTAGTTCAGGCATCTACACTCTAGGTACTCATTTTAGTTACTCAAAACAATATTGGAATCTACTTGAAGATGCAGCAAGGGATTTCCAAAAGAAGATTCCATCTTACCACTCTGTTGGCTTTCATTAATTGATTGAACTTATTCAGAGATAAATAACAAATTTACAGCATTGCTTTGTAAGTAGCTTTAGAGAATTACTATATGCTTTATGTTGACTCTTTTTTAAAGATAGGGAGAGGAATTTGTCATATATTCTCTATATGTAAGTTGGAAGTCATAATTTACATATTTTATTCTAAAAACTCAATGATATTTATGTTGACTCTTTTTATAGTATGCAGTATATAACATCATACACTTCTTTGGAACTTTATATAAGCAAATTTATAGTCATTTAAGAACTATAATTATACTTATAACTATTGGTTTGTATTTTCTGTGCACTGTATTATATCGGTGATATACTGTGATAAAGGTTTAAAATCTTGAGGGATGCATGATTCATTCACAGATGGAGATAGCATGGATTCATTCCAAGTCACAAAATGCATAAATTTATCGGCTGTGTAGAATGCGCTATAAATAAGTACTGGGTTATTGGTTAAACATGTGGTAATTTTGGGTCCTACCTGTGTCTATATCTTGACTGATTCTTTGATTTTTCTTGGTTTTATAGAAAAATATTACAAAAAACAATAGATAAAAATCGTTGCATTTGACACATGCTTTGGTGAGTCTACCCGGCTTTGGACACTGCTAATTTCCAGGATATGTTTGAATTTTTATTCAATGATTATGATCACTCCCAGTGCCCACTAAGGATAAACTTCATACCAACCAATTGCCACTCACCTTGTCTCCATCTTGGGTTGTAGATCTAGGTGTTGGGTTCTATTAGTTATTTTATTTCTGATACTTTAGATGGATGTGAATTTTGATTAACTTGCATGTGGAGTTTGGAACATTGAATCAAAATTCAGAATCCATAACTTTGATTGATGGATAATTTGAGTATAAAATATCTAGTATAATTCCATGCCTTTACTTTTGTAAGTTGCAGTGCAAATGACAATGATGCATTGATAATTTAGATATTTAAATAAAACAATATAATATTATTACTGATATGTTAATATGTATCATTTGTTGTAGCTCTTTTAATCATTGGATTCCAAACCTCATACTGTTAAATCTTGGACCATACTTTGGGTAAATCTATTGTTTGTGTTCATATGCTATAGATAAATTTTTCATTGTTCCCTATGTGTCTACAAATGTAGGGACTCGCGGCCTCACTAAGGGTATGACCTTGATAGAGCAGAATGACAGACCAGGATTCCTGTAGCGCATCCCAAATAGTTGGGAAAATACCTCTAATGATTCTTATACATCTATCAAACTAAATAACTTTTTCTTAGGTTGCACCAACTATGACAAGTAGAACTCCTCAATTTTCTTATCTTATGTTATTTGACTGACTTTGTTTCGTTTTCATGTAAAATGCTCCACCTTATGTGTGCTTAGGCAAAAAAACTTAAGTTGCCTTGTTTCATTATTTCTTTGCATATTCTTGGAGTCTCTGGGGAATATTATTCCACTTGGCTATTATTTGATGATGGCAAAAGCTTAAGCTCATTTGCATCATTTCTTTTGTATTTCAAGGGCCCTAAAATTTCAGAGTCCTTGGAATAATAAAAAATCTAAGTTATGAGATGCTTAATTAATTGTATGAGTTTGGATCTTCAAGTTTAGATCATCGTCTTATCTATGCTACTGATTTTTCTCCTCTTTAGCATCTTAACATTTGCAACTTGTCTTTAATCACTCATATGGTCATCTGACTTGGGTGTGATAGATTACTTTGATTGTTTTCTTACAGATTTCGTCCTTCAATTTATTATGCTTATAATTTATAGTGGTCACTTGCGTGTTTATTATAGTACTCTGTCATGCTCATTCCTTTTCATATTCCTTATATTCTTTTCAGCTTTCATACATATGATTATGCAAGACACTTTGTTAGTGCATGCACTCGTATCCTTGGACTTGAGGGCACACCTGAAGGAGTGGAGGATCAAGGAAGGATAACTCGAATTGCTGCGGTATATTTTAACTCTTCCTGATTTTCCCTTTTTCCACTGTTAAATCATCCCTTTGTGTTTATGTTTGTTGTGTGTGTGTGTGTGTGTGTGTGTGTGTGTGTGTTTGTGTGTGATTAGCCACCCAGCCATGGGCCTAATGGACGAGATTGAATTTGATCAGATCTCATAAGCAACTTTGTGTGTGTGCACATGCATGTGCGTGCGTGATAAGCAACTTTGTGTGTGTGCACATGCATGTGTGTGCGTAATTGATTTTTATCTTTTAATAAATCCGATGAACTTCAAATTTTGGGTGCATGTGTGCTTGACCTAGGCACACCAAAAATTGAATTAAAAATATTATCCAAAAATGACCAAAATACCCCTGCCCTTGCTGGCAAATGTTGGAGTGAGGGGCGGGGGGGATTTTGATCTCTCTTTTTGCATATTATTATTATTTTTATTTTATGTTGGTGCACCTAGGTTTGGTGCATTGTGTACATGCCCCCAAAATCTAACGTCTGTCAAATTTACAAGAAAATACTGAGAATCAAATACTAAGTTGCCGCACTGGCCCTTAGGTTGGCTGATATTCAACCTGGGTTGTTGGGTTGATATGGTTTTGTCATCCTCTGGGCTGATGGAATCTTGCTTCTATTTATATGTGTGTTTGTGTGTGTGTATGGGGGGTGGGTGGGTGCTAGGGCATGTGTTTGTGCATCTGTGTGAGCATGCCTATTCTTTTTTAGCTCTTTTTTTTTTTTTTTCAGTTTTATGGATAAATAGTTTAGTACTTAATGTTGTTTTTAGCTTGCAGAATATAATTTCTTCAATGTGGTGATGTGCTCTTTGTTATTTCCTTTCATATATTGTTGGGAACATTCAGTTTCCTATTGGGATCGACTCGGATAGGTTTATTCGGGCCCTTGAAATTCCAGATGTCCAAATTCACATCAAAGAGTTCAAGGAAAGATTTGCTGGGCGAAAGGTGTGCATGATTTCTTTGTTTAATTGTCCATACATGTTGATTAATCAAAGTGACTTGAAAAGACGAATGCAAAAGATATTTATACTGCATATAAAAATTAGGTGAAGATTTCTCAAGTTTCCTTAAAGAATTTTGTTGGGCTAATATGTGTGTCATTATGTTGGGAGACATTACTTTTTTATATATCGCATGGATAGTTGTCTTAACAAATATCCACATGATGCTAACTTTTCGAGTTCCCTTAGCTCCGTTGCCTAAGTTGTTTTTTTTTATTGATTGCGGTGCTTATATTTCTCTTAGCTTTCCATTTGATTGACGGCCCTCCATTGTACATGCGATGATGCGAAAGGAAGGTGGGACATTAAATCCAGCCACATTTCTATTCTTGAACAAGCAAAAATCAACAATACAATGGAGGAAAAAGGAGCTCACCTTAAAAGAGAAGAAAAATTCTATCACTTTCATAAAAAAAAAAAAATTGAACTCCAAAGCATGAGCCTCCTTGGGAGGCCAAAGAATCCCCCCTTTTATACAAGCTATCCAAAATGTTAAATTAATAAAAGAATTACTAATGGCTATCTCCTCTCTTTCTTCTCTCATCCTCACAAACTCTCTCTAGATAAAATATAACCCACATACTCTCCTCCCTTGACCCCGCTAGCTAGGTCACCCTTATCTTCCCTAACCAAATCTCCAGATTTTTTGGACACCCATGTCAATCCGAACTTCAGAAAGGGAGCCAGGTAAACCATGAAAATTTTCATACTAATCCCAAAAAAAGTAAGAAACTGACCATCTTAACCCATACAATTAACGAAATCCCAAGTTGGCCCCTTTTACTAATCCTCAAATTAAGTAGTAACAAATAAAAAATTCCATCCACGTCCTTGAGTATGAATTAAAAAAAACTAAAATTAAAACGAGCCATCTCTCTAATTTGATATGTGTCATCCTTCCCGTGTTGGAGAACACTTCGTTTGATCAGCATCAACATGAAACACAAACATATTGCGAACATCAAGGACTGGAGATATTCCAACCACTTGGCAAGTCCACCTCATAGAATTGTTAGTGATCTTCCTTTTGATATTGCTCGGTCTAACCTTCTTGGCTTAGAGCTTTCCAAAGGTGCCTACAACAAACCGTTCAGGTCAAAGATACACATGAAAAGATCTCCAACATGGAACAATTGCACATGACTATGTCGATTCACCGTATCCTGATACTTGTTGTAGCTCTCCAACTTTCTTTTGAACTTCTCATGCAAATCTGTCATGTACTTAGGCATGCTCGCCATATCTGGATCCACAATCTTGCACGCGATAAAGGAACTAAGTCTTGAAAATGCAAAGGAGACAAACTATAAACCATTGTAAAAGGAGTCTCACCATTTGAATGATTTGGAGAAGTATTCTTTTTTGTGAATTTAGCTTGTTGTAATGCCAAATCCCGATGCAAGCAGTTGTGAGTTGCAATTTAGTCCATTTTTCCTACACGTCCTCCAAAAATGACTAAGAAAGCGGGTATCACAATCTGAGGTAATGGTCTTCGGATGCCCATGCAGTTGTACTATCTCCTTAAGAAAGAGAGTAGTAACCATCATCGCATCAATGGTTCTCCTACATGGTCTAAAGTATTTTATCTTAGAAAATTAATCCAGCACAATCATAATTGAATCATATGCCTTTGTTGTCATGGGTAGTCCCACAATGAAATCCATGGATAAATCAACCCATGGCTTAGTTGGGAGAGGCAATGTTGACTACTTTCTTTGGGCCTCATTGAGTTTTTCACTAAAGAAAATAACATGCCTCTTTTCCTGACTGAGCACTGCGCCAATCCCCACATGAGAAAAATTGCATTCTACCTCAAATATGTTGATGAATTCTGGAAGTGCAAGCATTGGAACATTTGTAGTCTAATCTTTAATGGTGTCAAAAGCTTTATCTCCAACTAGGGAGCACTAGAAACTTTGCCTTTGAAGTACTTGGTGATTAGGGCCATAATAAACTGGAATTTCTAGTAAACTACCTATAAATAGTAGCAAGTCCATGGTAACTATGCAACCTCCTCACGTTCTACCTTTCTCCTATTTGAAGAACACATCATAGCTGAGAATGGCTTGGGGCCTTGGCAGTAGTATTGCCGAGCCCCATGATAAGTTCTCTGACTCCATTCTCACCAAAGGGTTGGGGCCCAAATCCCCACTGACTTACCAATTTTACTAACCCCAAAAAAAAAAAGAACACATCATAGCCCAAAAATAATAGGCTATTGGTGAAAATGTTACACTTCTTAAAATTGATGTATAACATCTGGGCCAGTAGCACTATGAGTATCTGGGGCAAATGTTTGACATGGGCATCAACGTCTAAATTATAAACAAGTATGTGATTGAAATAAACCACTAGAAGCTTGCTAATAAAAGGTTGTCATACCCGTGTCATCATATGCATGAACATGTGCATAGGACATGCTAAAAGGCATCACCAACAACTCATACAACCCACTCTTTCATCTTGAACGCGGTCTTCCACTCATCTCGTTCACCTGTACAAATTTGATGGGAGCCACTTCTTAATTCAATCTTAAGAAATATAACAATTTTAGCTAGCATGTCAAGCATATCATCCAACTATGGAATAGGGAATTGATATTTGATTGTGATCTTGTTGATAGGCTCTGCTGTCTATACACAATCTTCATTAACCAGCTTTTGGGCAAGCGAAGCTGGTACAACACATGGATCATGCCAATCGTTATGAGGTCCTTTGCTAACAACTACCGCCTTGGAAGTTCATCACACCCTTGAGGACTCATTCTATAAGCTGGTAGATTTAGTAAGCTTGAACCATGTATGAGGTCTATACAGTGATATGTATTCCTCATAGGTGGTGAGCTACAAAAGACTCGTCGGGCGCAAGATCTTCAAACTCCGATAAAAGTGGTCTAAGGGATTTTGGCCTTGAAACAAGTTACCACAAATAGTGTTAGCCTAGTACTTCAACATACCTATTGTGTTGTGCGATGTCACGGTGGCACTTAAACATGTGTTGGCACGTGTAGACATGGATGTGGCACTTTATTGATTTCCACAACCTATCAACGTGTTATATAGAAGGTCGACATTTTTCATGTAATAAAGAACCCATGGGCTGCTTGGTAGGTGGACATTCTTAACTCAAGAGGACTTGAGATTGAATCCTATGGTGAGTATGAAATTCTTTTTGAATACCTTTTTATATTTGCTGTTTAAATAAACATGTCATGGCCGGGCTTGGAACTTCTCAACATGTTGAAGTGTGGTGGTAAAGGCTGCCAATGCACACAGAATACTTATGTGAACATAACAAGCAAAAAATTACTTATATACTATAAAAATAGATATTTAATATAAAAAATGGCTTAAGGTGTGATCCTGATAATGGGCGATGTACTTTACCCCTAAGAAGACAAGAATTTCGTGCAAAGAAATGTCTAAAGTTTTTGATATAATATTATTTTCAATGATAAAACTTTATGTATATTTTATGATGTAAATTACACTTGGTGGGATTTGAGCTTGGATTATTCTGGGAATAAATAATAATTCTACTAACACAATTATAAAAAATGTTTACATGCATTAAGCAAAATATGTTTAAAAGCATTGTTTTGAAAAATAAAAATAGAAATAGATAATTTTTTTATGTTTTCTTACATAAAAAAAATTTTGATTTTCAAGTTTAAATTTTTTGTATTTTAATCTTTATTTATTATATTTTAAAATTTTATTTTTATAATTTTAGATTTTCTCTAAGAAGGATGAGGACTTTAAACTTTCCCTTAACCCACCCCATACCTGAGTAAAAGAGGTGGGTTGTGTTAGACAGGCAACCAACATAAAACTTTGCCAACACTTTCCATGAATCTTAGAATGGTGGATTACGATTCATGTAGCCGATGACAAATAGTTGGGAAAAGGCTCTGATATATATATATATATATATATAAGGAAAAAAGCTGAGATTTGCCCACTAGCTCATATGAATAAATGAGCCCAACAGCCCAGATTGAATCTGGGCCGATCATGGATGTCCGGTAGTGTTTGAATTTTTTTTTTTCTACAAATCCAAATCACTTGAAATTTTAGGCTTGTGTTTATCAAAATAGGTGAATCTGTGAAAAATATCAAAAAAATATTTTACATGAAATAAATTAACCAAATTACCCCTACAAAGTTT